TCTGCTGCACTTAAGGTTCCGAAGAGCACAGTGGCCTCCATTCCTTAAATGGAAGACGTTTGGGATGACCAGAACCCTTCCTAGAGCTGGCTGTCCGGCCAAACTGAGCTATCGGGGGGGAAGAGCCTTGGTGAGAGAGGTAAAGAAGAACCCAAAGATCACTGTGGCTGAGCTCCAGAGATGCAGTTGGGAGATGGGAGAAAGTTGTAGAAAGTCAACCATCACTGCAGCCCTCCACCAGTCGGGGCTTTATGGCAGAGTGGCCCGACGGAAGCCTCTCCTCAGTGCAAGACACATGAAAGCCTGCATGGAGTTTGCTAAAAAACACCTGAAGGCCTCCAAGAAATCATCAGAATAAGATTCTCTGGTCTGATGAGACCCAGATAGAACTTTTTGGCCTTAATTCTAAGTGGTATGTGTGGAGAAAACCAGGCACTGCTCATCACCTGTCCAATACAGTCCCAGCAGTGAAGCATGGTGGTGGCAGCATCATGCTGTGGGGGTGTTTTTCAGCTGCAGGGACAGGACGACTGGTTGCAATCGAGGGAAAGATGAATGCGGCCAAGTACAGGGATATCCTGGATGAAAACCTTCTCCAGAGTGCTCAGGACCTCAGACTGGGCCGAAGGTTTATCTTCCAACAAGACAATGACCCTAAGCACACAGCTAAAATAACGAAGGAGTGGCTTCACGACAACTCTGTGACTGTTCTTGAATGGCCCAGCCAGAGTCCTGACTTAAACCCAATTGAGCATCTCTGGAGAGACCTAAAAATGGCTGTCCATCAACGTTTACCATCCAACCTGACAGAACTGGAGAGGCTCTGCAAGGAGGAATGGCAGAGGATTCCCAAATCCAGGTGTGAAAAACTTGTTGCCTCTTTCCCAAAAAGACTCATGGCTGTATTCGATCAAAAGGGTGCTTCTACTAAATACTGAGCAAAGGGTCTGAATACTTAGGACCATGTGATATTTCAGTTTTTCTTTTTTAATAAATCTGCAAAAATGTCAACAATTCTGTGTTTTTCTGTCAATATGGGGTGATGTGTGTACATTAATGAGGAAAAAAAATTAACTTAAATGATTTTAGCAAATGGCTGCAATATAACAAAGAGTGAAAAATTTAAGGGGGTCTGAATACTTTCCGTACCCACTGTATATATCCTCGCTTGTTTCCAGGGCGACGCTGATGAAGCCTCGGGACCCTCGTCACACTCCCTCCCCCCAAGCGTCGTTCTGGTCCTGTTAACGATATGAGATAGTATGGGAGAGATAGGGGGTGGGTGGGGAGTGACCCCTGACAGACCTGCGAAAGCTGCCCAGATCCGAGAGAGGCCATCCGCGTTGGCGTTCGCGGCTCCAGCCCGATGACTTACCTCGAAGTGGAAGTCCTGGAGCGCGAAGAACCATCGGGTCACCCTGGCATTGGTATCCTTGGTGCGGGCCATCCACTGAAGGGGTGCGTGGTTCGTGACCAGGGGGAACTTCCGGCCCAGGAGGTAGTACCGCAGCTCCAGGAGTGCCCACTTGACGGCTAGGGCCTCCTTCTCCACCGCGGCGTAGTTCCTCTCGGCCGGGATCAGCTTCCTGCTGATGTAGATGACCGGATGCTCCTCACCCTCCCGGATCTGTGACAGGACGGCTCCCAGTCCTGTGTTGGAGGCATCCATCTCCAACAGGAAGGGGCAGCTAAAGTCCGGGGCTCGGAGGATGGGCTCCGAGATGAGGGCCCCCTTCACCCTCTGGAAGGCCTCCTCCGCTGCTGGTGTCCACTGTACCTTCTCCGGCTGCCCCTTCCTGGTCAAGTCTGTCAGGGAGGTGGCTAAAGAGGAGAAGTTGGGGATGAAGCAGCGATAATACCCCGCCAACCCTAAAAAGGCTCGTACATGGGTCTTAGTCTCGGGTCTCGGAGCGGAGCGTACCACCTCCACCTTCTTCTCCTGCGGCCGAATGAGACCCCGTCCCACCTGGAAACCCAGGTACTTCGCCTCAGAGAGGGCAAGGTGGCATTTGCGAGGGTTGGCGGTGAGTCCAGCCCTCCGGAGCTCCGAGAGCACCCTCCGTAACCGGTCCAGGTGGTCTTCCCATGCCTCGGAGTGGATGACGACGTCATCCAGATAGGCCGCGGCGTAGGCCTGATGGGGCCGCAACAGGATGTCCATCATCCGCTGGAACGTGGCGGGTGCCCCGTGGAGGCCAAAGGGAAGGGTCCGGTACTGCCAGTGGACACTAGGGGTAGAGAAAGCAGTCTTAGATTTGGCATTCTCAGAGAGGGGTACCTGCCAGTAGCCTTTGGTGAGGTCCAACGTTGAGATATACCCTTCCCAGCCGGTCCAACAGTTCATCTACCCGAGGCATGGGGTATCCGTCAAACTCGGATACCTCATTGAGGCGACGGAAGTCGTTGCAGAAACGGAGGGTGCCGTCCGGTTTCGGGACCATCACGGTGGAGCTGGCCCATGGGCTGCGTGATGGTTCTATCACCCCCAACTTCAGCATCTGTTGAATTTCCTCCTCAATAGCTCGCCGACGAGCCTCAGGGATGCGGTAGGGCCATTGCCTGACGACGACCCCTGGCGGCGTCCAGATGTTGTGCTGCAGGACGTTGGTCCGCCCGGGAAGAGAGAAGAACACATCAGAGAACTGACTGACCAGGTGCTGCAGCTCCGTCTTCTGGGCAGCTGAGAGGTGGGGGTTGACATCAACAACCACGGGATCAGAGATGGCGAGGGCCGCGAGCTGGTCTCTGGTCCCCATCCACTTCTTCAGGAGGTTAATGTGGTAGAGCTGCTCGGCTCACCTCCTTCCTGGCTGACGCACCCGGTACGTCACCGGCCCAATCTTCTCCAGCACCGTATAGGGACCCTACCAGGTGGCCAGGAATTTGCAGGCCGCACTGGGGACTAGGACCATGACTCGGTCTCCAGGCTGGAACTCCCGTGGCTGGGCTGCCCGGTTATAGTGGCGCTGTTGGGCCTGCTGCGCTTTTGTCAGGTGTTCCCGGACTAATGGCATGACCCGGTCGATCCTTTCCCTCATCTGTTTTACATGCTCGATGACAGAGCGATGGGCTGCCGGCTGCTGCTCCCAGGCTTCCTTCGCCACATCCAGGAGGCCGAGGGGTTGCCGGCCAAAGAGGAGCTTGAAGGGGGTGAAGCCAATTAAGGCTTGCGGAACTTCACGGATCCCAAAGAGGACGTAGGGGAGCATCAGGTCCCAGTCGCGCTTGTCCTCTGTGACCACCCGTCTCAGCATCTGCTTGAGGGTTTGGTTGAAGCGTTCAATCAGTCCGTCGGTCTGAGGATGGTAGACGGTGGTCCTCAACTGCTTCACCCGCAGCAGCCGGCAGAAGTCAGCCATTAGCCGGGACATGAAGGGGGTCCCCTGATTGGTCAGGATCTCCGCTGGGATGCCGACTCGGCTGGAGAGCAGGAAAAGTTCCTGGGCAATGGCTTTGGCGGTGACTTTTCGGAGGGGCACTGCCTCAGGGTACCGGGTGGCATAGTTGACGATCACCAGGATGTGTTCATGTCCCCGGGCAGACTTAGGCAACGGCCCCACAAGGTCCATCCCGATGCGCTCGAAGGGCACCTCGATGATGGGCACGACGAAATGCGGGAGAGGGTGGGGACCAGGCTGAACCTCCTTGCCTTTGATGACCCGGACCTGGGTCCATCCATGCTTCAGCCTGTCATCCTCCCGCTGTTCCTTCCCAAATGAGGGACTCACCTTCTCTCCCGCTATTCGAGGCCAGAAGCACGGGCCGCTGACGAGATCCTGTCGTGGACCTCCTTCTTCAGCGGCCCCCTCCTGGGCTGGCAGGCTGCGTAGCCGTGGCCAGCAGATGGTCAAACCCTGGCCAGTCTCTCCCGATCAGCACGGGGACGGGAAGATCCTTCATGACCACGACTTCCACCGGCCAGGTGCCGGGAGGGGCCGAATTGGTCACCCTGCGAGCGGGAACTTGTTGTGTGTCCCCGTGGACACAGGTTATGGGGAGGAAGGCTTTACACTCCGTTTGGGGGGCGAGGATATGCGACTGGACCAGAGTGACCGCACTGCCCGAGTCCAGGATGGCCCGGAACGGCTTTCCATTTACTTTCACTTCCACCTCTGGCGCTCCAACCGGCAGGTCGCGGTGCACAATGCAGCCTGCCAGCCAGGTCCGTGCGGGGACTTCCGTTGGCATGGGCTCATCCCGCTGGGAGGGAGACGCCCGCCTGCGTACTGGTCGCGGGGTGCCCTCCGGCGCGAGCCGCTCCTGGACCACCCTCCGGAGAAACGGCGGCGCTCGCTCCCCAGCATCCCGGTGTTGGGCCGCATCCGCCAGCTCAACAGCCTCCACAAGCTCCGACGTGGGGGTTGGGTTCCTCATCCCAACGGCCCGTCGGTGAGATCGGGGAAGGGCTCGGAGAAGACGGTCTATCACACCGCGCTCCGCCACCTGTCCAGCCGATGGAGCCCCCTCCAGCAGCCAGTGCTGCGCGAGTAGTGGGAGTTCGGCGGCCTGGGCACGGGCCGGCAAACGGGGCTTATACTCCCACTCGTGGAAGTGCTGGGCGGCACAGATAGGGGATAGCCCCAGGCGGGCTAGGATTTCCTTCTTGACCTCCTTATATTGATCGGCGGAGGCAGCGGGAAGAGCGAAGTATGCACGCTGCGCTTCGCCCATCAGCAGGGGAGCCAGCACCCATGCCCAGTTATCCTGATGCCACCCTTCCAAGGTTCGAACATTTGTAAAAAGGCTTCTACGTCATCATGAGGGGTCAGCTTGGGTAGCAGCTTCACGGCTTGCACTCGGGGGTCCGGCAGCGGAATGCGTTGAGCGGCGGCGGCATGCAGTGCCGCGAGGTCCTGCTCCGTCTCTCCTTGACGGGTGGCGAGGTGCTCAACGATTTGTTGTTGGCGGATGCTAACCTCGGTGAGCCGCTGGAGGATTTCGTCCATGGAGGGGGGAGGAGCGCTCGCCTGTGACAGAAACCGGAGACAAAAACAAGGAAAAAAGGTGAGGTGAAGAAGATCGCTTGTCGGTGATTCTTCACTGATTTGCCGTTACCAGTGTAACGGGGTGAAGAATCACACGACAAGAAATCTCAATCAATACCCCAGAGGGTGGATTTATTGGGGTGAGGGGTGCTCATGAGAAAGGTCCAGCTAGGTGCTCCGGTGCCGTGAGTGCTCTCTTCCGTCTTCCCAGTGCAGAGGGTCCGTGCAGTGCTCCTGTGGGGCTGGTCGGTCACACGCTGCTTTCTGTGGGGAAAATGAGAGGGCGAGTTAGTGCTCAGTCTCATGGAGGAATCTCCTAGATGGCAGGGCTTGCGTGGCTTATGTAGCCGTGATGTTGATGGCCAGGTGCTCCTCGCTTGTTTCCAGGGCGACGCTGATGAAGCCTCGGGACGCTCGTCACAATATATATATAGGCCATAAATGTATTGTCTAAAGTATATTTAAAATAACGAATATTGCTTCTCACCAATATGTATTTCTTGCCCTTTGAAGTACTTGATTTTGTAATATATTTTCAGTTAAAAAAATTATTTTCTTTTCTCTGCAGCATATGTGTGAAATATAGTTTGGTCAAAATTTGCATATTGCCATATAGGTAATGTCATGTCTGATGATTTAGAGCCAATTCAGTCAAGCTTTATCAGTAAGCAAGCAAATATTTTGTGAGTAAAATTCTTATTTATGTTTGTTCTTCCCTTTATATTTTGAATAGCCTAAATGCCATTTATGGGAAAAGCATTCATGCACTGCAATGCTGCTACCAGTATCCATGATTCACATTTACATATTAGGTTTTGGAACTGTGCTTGATATCCAGGGTGGTTTAAGGGCATTTGGCATTAAAGATCCAAGAGAAGTTGCGTTCCCGGTACTGTTTTTCCCAGTGACACTGGGAGCTGTCAGGCGGGGAGGTTTAAATGTTCCAACTGATTGCGATGGCCGCAAAACGAGCCAGATGAGAAATGAAACCTCAGATATCTGTACTTCAGCAGGAGAAGAAAGACCAGCGGTGCACTAATTAGCTTAGCTCTCATACTCCTGGGGCTGGAGAGAGAGAGAGAGAGAGAGTCAATGAAAACACAGGATGAGGGACTTTGGCTAGCCCACTCAGCCAATTCACATTAGAAATACCTCCGCTGGGCCTGTCCAGAAAAAAAGCGCCCATCCAGAAACGCGTCCGAATGTCTCAGTTAAGAAATTGCAAGCGGTTAAGAGAGGATGAATGCAAGCAAAGAGAGGTGCGCACATCTGAAGTTTATTTCAGTGTAAATCTTTTCCAGATAATGCTGTTACGATTTGGAGTCCTGATGATTTAGGGGTTGTGACCCGACGTGACACTCCAGTAAATGAATGAACCTCTAGACCTGGTCTTTGTCCGGACATTAGTGGTCAGTTTGTGTCCACCAAGACAAAACAGTTTGACAGATATGCCACCACAAAAGAGTGGTGAACTCTCATTAAACTGTCAGTGACCTTAATGTGTCATTTAGCATGTTTTGTTGAGACTGGAGATCAAACGCGTGTTTAGAAGCAGCTCAAACAGGGTGTGGTGATATGTCAGTGCCGATGGTGTCACTTGGACAAGCTGTATTTGATAGGAAAGGCAGTAATATGTTGCTGTGATGTGTTAATTGGATTCTGGACCCTTGACAATTTTGTGACTCATCATGCGGTTTGTCAGAGCAAGACTTCAGACTCTGCAACTCTACAGAGACAATGTTTAGGCTGTACTCATTCAGCTCAGTTGTGCTTGCACCCATTCTGCAATAAATAAATACAATTTCAAAATATACAAAAATGGCCTATGTATTTATTTATTTATTTGTTTGTTTGTTTGTTTAATATAATATATTTGGTCAACTATATATATTTTTTAATATTTGAAAATATAATTATGTAAAGAAATTTTCTTTCAATGTATTTTTTGACCAAATATATATATTGATATATTTCTTAAAAGTTAAAAAAATATATTTTACCCTCCGCATATTACAGTCCAAGAAAATATATTTACATTTTTCACTTTTGAAGAAAAATATTTGTTGTTTAAAACGTGTGAGCATAAAACACATTTGAAAAAAACGGCATGTAACATACTGTATAAACAAATTACAATACAACAATATATAAAATAATTAAACCTGTTCCATTCATTGCATTAGACTAAATGTAGGCTACTGTTAGATGCAAATGTATTTTCTTGCCCCGAAATACATTTTGAAAATATATTTTGGTATATCAACATTGAAGCTAAATATATTTTCAGTTTCAAAAATATATTTCATTGAGCTTCGCTGTTTGCAACATTCAGGTGCATCTCAATAAATACGAATGTCGTGGAAAAGTTCATTTATTTCAGTAATTCAACTCAAATTGTGAAACTTGTGTATTAAATAAATTAAATGCACACAGACTGAAGTAGTTTAAGTCTTTG